AAGTAATAAATTGCATCAACACCTAGAATATTTTCAATCTGCAATTGGAACAGTGGCATGGGTGCCTTTGAACGCATTCTATGCATTTGCGTGACCTTACTTATCCTATAACCCAATGTTTCTAACTCCTCTTTTATTTCATCGACAGGGCTGTCTATTGGGAGCCCTCGTATTACTCCTTTTATAGGCCGCTCTAATTTAGTGGTAATTATACAGCGATCAATTTCTTTTTCTTCTAAATATCTAGTAATTATCCTATGATTCTCCTCTGAACAGGGGAACACCTTTAAAAATTCACCATTAATTTTAACTGAGAATTCAGGCTTAGTATCATCTTTTAATGTTTTAGCTAAATCTGAAAACTTAACATAACATTTAACCATTACTGGCTTAATTTTGAAGGGGGTTTACTGCAATCACCTCAGATTTCCCTGGCATTTCAACATCATTAACTTTCTTTTCATTGCAGCCCAGCTTTAACATCAAACTTTTTCATTCATACTTTAAAGTAAAGCAGTTTGGCAACGGTCTCTCTTGATGTCGGAAATCATTTCTAGCCGCAAAAGTATATTTCGGTTAATTAAAATTTCATCTTAAATTTTTTCCTCGATATATTATACATTTATTAATTCTGGTGAGTTTGGTTATAGTGTAAGGTTATTTAAATCTAAATATGCTTTTAATGTTAACATGTTAAACGAATTCATGTTATTATTCTATATTTAATTCTTTCTTATCTTTGACACAGCAGGACGTAACTAATAATTTGTGTGGAATTTTAATAAAAATTTAGATAATGGATGCAACAGAAAGTCATGGGATACCTGAAAGCTTTCCAGATATTTTTTGCTAAGTGCTAATATTTGCGTGCCCTCTTTTTTTTTTTTTCGCCCCCATCACCGTGTTTGTAAATAATGTATGCTTCAGGCCGTACTTATTGTAGCGAAATTTTGTATCCTATTAATCGAGACTGTATGGGAATTAAATGAAGTAATTTAGATGCGAATTTATTTTTTAATTCTTGCAAATGAAAATTTGTTTCTTTAAAAATATTCTAAATGGTTTTAAAGTTATTGAAATCAGACTAAGCCTAATCTCGATAAACGTGAAGATACTGGTGAATCTCCTCGTGGGTCCATAAATGAACTATTACGATCTTATGGAACTGAGTACAAAGAATCTGGATTGCTTAAAGTTCCTTTGCAGTGTGTATCAACTATTAGTTTAATTTGTTATGGATGTTAGTTACTGATTAGTAATGTTCGTTAATACTTAATTTTAACCGGTTCATTTGATATATATAACTTACTATTTTTTTTTAGCTAAACATAGGCATATGACGATATATTTGGTGATTTGCAATAAATAATGTTTTATATAACATTAATTTTATTTTCTAATGGTTGCATATTAAAAGAAAAAATGCTAGGAGTTAAATTAATTGGGGGAGACCATTAAAGAAAATTAAATTGTTTAAATCTAAATTAGAATAAACTCAATAATTAATGTAAAACAAGTTTAATGGTGAAAAACTGAAGAAAATGGCCTTAGTAAAGTGTCAAGAAAAGCTCCCAATTGTTATTTTAAAGATTTTCAAATAATTAAAAGTATATTTTTTGCTAGGTAATGTGAGCCATTCAAATATATAAACATTTAATAGTGTTATTAAAATATACAAGTGTTACTGTGATTTAATATCTTTTGAATGATGAAAATAAGGCAACATACATATGCTTTGAGTGTAACTAAATTTAGTGCTACTTTTTGATTATCCGCACCTTTATTGTCAACATTGGGTAGAATTTCTTTGATATTTTTGAGTGTACATACAACAATAGCCAGCCCATGCATACCTGTTCCACACACGTGTTTGAATACAGGTGGATTTTCACATTTTATAGTCAACAGTCAGTTTATTGATCAGCACATCCTCGTTCCCATCGTTAAGTAATGTGATAATTTAAGAAAGTAAGATCTCTTATGAAATGAACATGATAGGGGTGTTTCTGTTATTATTTATGAATGGAACAGTGTCTTTAAATCATAAAGGTAGTTAAGCAAATGATTTTGCCAGTTTGTGTAGTTGCGAAGGAAAGGATGATTTTCATGATGAGGGGAGGGTGTACAGATAATCAAATAAGTACAAATTTCATAATTGGATTTTCAGAAATTTTGTAATTTAAATAATAAAATTGTATCAAAATTTTCATTTTGATAATTAATGAAAATTTTATCAAAATTTTCATTTTGATCAAATTATTCACATCTGATAAAATCATTCACAGCATAAGAATTCCAGTTATGAAGCAATGTCTGAATATGAAATAAAACAAAATGCAGAAAGTTTTTGTAAAAAATTATCAGGCCGACAAAGTTTTTTTCAAGAAGGTGAACAGTATCTAAGAAGCAGCTAGCTAAATGTGCAAGCTACATTGTAGCATACAATATTGCTAAAAAAAATAAAGCTCTTAGTGATGGTGGGTTCATTAAACAATGCATGCTCCAAGTTTGTGATGTTTTATGTCCAGAGAAGAAAAATAATTTTGAGACTAAGCTTATCTTGAAAAAGGTGACTTCTACAATTGAAAACATTGATAAAAATTTGACATAACAATTAAGAGTCAAAAGATTGACCATTTTAAATTTTGCACCATAGCTATGGGTGAAAGCACTAATATAAATCATACTTCTCAATTATTATTATTTATTAGTATTACAGTCAAAAGTCTTTAATCCGGACTCGTCGGGACTTCGGCGTTTCCGGATTATCGATTTTTCCGGATTATAGATCATCAGTTTAAATCTGGTAAGATGGCATGCAGAAATTATGAAATTAAAAATATGAAACAGTAATTTATAAAATAATGAGCAATTATGATCTAAAGAGTATCAAAATTTGAGCAATTATGATCTAAAGGGTATATGGCTTTATCCATTTTTTGCAGCAATTCCAGTTTTTGTTTGATGGACATCGAAACATACTTTCGTTTTGTAGATCCTTCGGGAGCTCCAGCATCAGAAATTCTATTTGACATAATCGAAAGTTCAAGCTTACTTTTATAAAATTGCTCTTACAGTCTGCAAAAAATAATAAGCCTGATCCAACTCGAAGATTAAGGAACAACGCAATCATCAACATTAACTGAAATAGATAATTAGATAATTTTAGCTTATACCGTCCGTTATACGTTAAACGCGCACGCAAAAAACGTATTTTGCGCACACGCATGTGCGCAGTTGTAAAGGTCTTACGCTCACGTGTAAATGCCTATGCGCATGCGTCAACCTGGCGCATGCACAGAAAGTTTTTAGCTTTGAGTTCCGGATTATGGGTGTCCGAATTAACGACTTTTGACTGTATTATAAGTATTATGTATAAGAATATTATTACGTGCGTATGGGTTTGTAATAAACTGAATGCACAAGTCTGATGAAAAGTGAATAAAAATTATTCTTATCACAATAATTAAAAATAAAATGCTGAAATTTCCTCAGAGATATTAGTACAATATTGCAATATATCACAGTACTTATATTTTAAACTACTAAAACGTTAGAACTCGATTCAAAACAGAGAAAGCTAATCCGATCTTACTGCGAATTCGCTACAGTCAACAACAGTTATCCAAAAAACTGAATTCAGATGTTTTCCTTCGGCTCTTATAAGCTTTTTAATCAAGCACAAGAATATTCTGGTATTTTCTCGATTTTTTCCGTAAAGCAAAAGCATAAAATTATGAGATATCTATTTATTAAATGCGCATGATCCTGTATTTTTAATTTTTCGGTATAGCTTTCTCTTCAAATAAGTTCTCATACTGCATTGCAGGGTGATATAAAACGATTTTAATTAATTCTAATAAAAGTAGCTAAATAAATACAAAAACCATAACAGTATTACTTATAAGTACAATTTGTATTATTTATAAGAGGTGATGAGAACTTTGAAATTACTGAGGAACTGGTATGCTTGTGTTCTTTAACCCTCTGACTGCTCAATTTGTAAACCAAATTCGCTTCCAAAATTGCATTTTTTTTTTTCCTTCATATTTTAAATCTATATATATTGAAAAATGCACTTTTTTTCTAGAAAATATTTTTTATATAGATTTTTATCATGAGAAAGTAAGTTGCCAGAAAAACCAATTTCAGATGTTATCACCAAAAAAATCTTTTTTTAAAATAAATTTTAGTCGAATTACACTTATTGCATAATATAAAAAAGTAATTTAAGAAATATAAGTGCTGAGGGAAAAATAACTTAGAAATGATTAGTATAATAGAAATAATTAGTATGATAGAGTTCAAGGCAAAGTCCAACCTCACAGTCTTTGCACCAGAATCAATAAATCTACTTATTAATGTAATCAATAAATGTAATTAATTCAATAATTTATTAAAATCAAGATATCGTGACGTTTTCTAGCAGCCATTTCTGTAAGAAAACGCACTATTAACGATATCTGTTGGCTAAACGTAAACTAAATGCCTAATACTGTATATAATTTATTTCAGTGGTTATACGGGGAAAAACGGGATGCGCTCCTCAATAAAGGAAGAAAAACATGCCTGCGGGATGAGCAAATTTTGCTACATTTGAGTTGTCCGTGGAAATCGCAGGATGATCAGCCAGAGGGTTAAAGGAAACAACAATGGGATGTGATATTTTTCGTGAATTTCAGGAAGGGTTTTTAACTTTGAAAGTGCCTATAACAAATGTATGTAATATTACAACCAATGGAGCACCAAATATGAAAGGGAAAAAAATCTGGATTAACAATGTTGTTTTTCTACATTGAGTTGTACTGTACATCAAGATACTCTGCGCTGCATTGAATATGAAACCTGTGCTTGATGTAGTTGTGTAAGTACTATTTGATTTCGTGGGATTACTCGCAGGCAATTTCGAGATTTTTTTCAGTCCATGCAATCTGAATACTCTGATGTACTGTATTACACAAAAATAAGGTGGCTTAGTGCAGGATGTGTTTTCGAGCGAGTTTGGCTGCTGAAAGATGACATTATATCGTTCTTTCATGAGAAACAGTGTTCTGCGGAGTACGAAATGTTAGAAGATGCAGAATGGCTTTCGGTTTTGGCATTTTTCAGATTTTTGTCATATGAGAAACATAAATGTCAAGATGCAAGGGAAAAGTCAATATATCGATGATATTTGGGCCTGTTAAACTAAACTTAATCTGCTGGGCTAGCTAAGAATGACTTGTCTCATTTCCTGAGGTAAAATTCAATACCCTCAGTAAATGAAGAGAAGCTTAAGAATTATGAACATGGCTTGAAAAACTGCATTTTGAGTTCAAACTGAAATTTCAAGATTTCGGTGCCATTTAAACAGAATTGGATATTTTTACCATGCCTTTAAATGTAAATAATAAATCATAAAGGTCAGATTTGCAGCTTAAATTGAGTTGATATCTTAACATCATCTCAAGTAGTTGTTCCTAAATATGCCAAGTTAGACTTTTAAAAATTATTATCGAAAGTAAGTTTCCCAAGTTTAATATCTCATGCCCAGAAAATAAGTGCTATGTTTGCTTCATCTTATATATGTAAACAAGTGTTTTCAGCTATGAACCACAGAAAAAATTATTTCAGAAGTTGACTGACAGATGAGCA